GCAGTCTCCTCCTCCCGGGTTCCCATTCAAGCAATTCGCCTGCCTCAGCCTTCCCAGTAGCTGGGATTACAGGCACACGCCACTAGGCCCAGCTAAGTTTTGTATTTTTAGTAGAGATGAGGTTTCACTATGTTGGCCAGGCTGGTCTTGAACTCCTGGTTCAACTGGTCTTGATCCCCCCGCCTTGGTCTCCCGAAGTGCTAGGATTACAGGTGTGAGCCACTGTGCCCGGCCAGCTAAATTTACTTCTAAAAGAGGTAGATGAAACATTTCTTCTGCTTAGCACCTCAGGCAATATGAAATTTGTATTTAGTAAACATTTATAAACTACTTACTATATGGGCATTATTCTAAGCCCTTCACAAATATTATAATAACTCATTTAATTTTCATACAGCCTGATAAAATTCTTGATGAAACCTGTAAAAATATGTTAGTAATTTGGTACTTTGATAAATCTTAAAAGATTTGCTGTGGTTGTACAAAACTAAGCTGATTGTTCACAGAAAGACAGTACCTTTTTGCAGATACTTGATTTTAGTTTTCATATTTAAGCTGAAGATGATACAGTGAAAAGTTGTGGGGTATCAAAGCAGCAACTTAAGAAGCAACATCAGAAATCTTATTAGTTAAAATACTGTGTGGTTTGATTTTCACCCCTAGGTCTTTAAATATTTTGTTAGGGTTTTATTGCTAAAATAATACTGGAAACATTTATCAACATGTGTGTTTCATGGTATAACATGTATGCGCGAAATGCTGTTTTGTCTGTGCATTTCAAATTAGATGATATAAAGAAAATTAAATGTAAATGTTTCTCTCCTGTATCAAATTTCTCCTTTTGTTTTCTGATTCTTGTGTGGTAGTGTATTTACTCCTTTTTGGCCAGTTGAGCCCCAGAAAAAAGAAGAGCTTCAAGCAAGTACACGATGGCATGTTTAATTTTTTTCCCCTTTTAGCTTGCCTACATATTTTATGGTTTATAAAGTATGTATTGCAGCTCTGCCATGTTCATTTTGAAAATTCCATTTAAAAACCAAACTTGTAAGGACAAGTAAACAATCTCAAAAATTTTTTGTTGGGTTTTGCATTTTCTTTATATAATAGGTGATTCTGAAATAATACCAAGATTTGGGCTTAGTCTTAATTGTTATGTAGAAGCTTTTAATACCCCTTTCAGATATAATATTTTCTATATTCAGATAGTAC